GATCTGGCGAGACAAGTTTGCTAACCATTACACCACGTTGAAGTTCCCTAGTTATTTTCCAAGCGTAGCTTAGATGTGGCACAAGGCCGAAAGTATAGGGCACCCGGTGAGGATCGATCTCACTATTCAGTCGTAATTGATCTGGCGAGACAAGTTTGCTAACCATTACACACGTTGAAGTTCCTAGTTATTTTCCAAGCGTAGCTTAGATGTGGCACAAGGCCGAAAGTATAGGGCACCCGGTGAGGATCGATCTCACTATTCAGTTGTAATTGATCTGGCGAGACAAGTTTGCTAACCATTACACCACGTTGAAGTTCCCTAGTTATTTTCCAAGCGTAGCTTAGATGTAGCACAAAGGCCGAAAGTATAGGGCACCCGGTGAGGATCGATCTCACTATTCAGTTGTAATTGATCTGGCGAGACAAGTTTGTTAACCATTACACCACGTTGAAGTTCCCTAGTTATTTTCCAAGCGTAGCTTAGATGTGGCACAAGGCCGAAAGTATGGGGCACTCAGTGAGGATCGATCTCACTACTCAGTCGTATTTGATGTAGCGAGACGAGTTTGCTAACCATTATACCACCTCGAGGTGCGCATGACAATTTTACAAATAGGCACCAACCATGTTCAATAATCAACTAATCTCTTCTCCTCTCTCTCTTTCTTTTTTCTTTCTTTATTTTCTCTCTCTCTCTCTCTCTCTCTCTCTCTATATATATATATATATATATATATATATATATATATATGTTGTAGCATACCTACTGACGATAATGGGTATGTCCCCATTCACATAAATACAGTAGTAAATACAGTTTGTTGGTCTGAAGTCGGAGATTCGTTTCCAGCTGTGCTGGTCAAACTCTCTGCCTCCGGTCAGAGAGGATCCCCAGACGAGGCTATGTCAAGGGGCAGAGTCTTGTCGATGGTGGGGGCAGCTAACCCGACCCCGCTTTATACGGGGTCTGCGGAGAAATTTTGGCCGAGCCTACGGGCTCGGATACCCCAGATTAAATTCTGCCTTGTGCCACATCTGACCACGCGGGGCGGTAGATAGATATCCTGCAGTTGGAGATTCGTCTTCAGCTGTGCTGGTCATAGTATCCCCACACGAGGCTATGTCGAAGGGCAGAGTCTCGTCTCGGGAAACAGCGACCCGACCCCGTTTTATACGGGGTCTATGCGGAATTTTTGGCCGAGCCTACGGGCTCGGATAGCCCACATTAAATTCGGTCTTGTGCTACACGTGACCACGTAGGACGGATGATACATATACTGCAGTTGGAGGCTCATTGTGGAATTCACTTGACTCACTTCTAGCAGTTGAATACTACTTCTAAGCGCCACTGGTGAATCTTATGTGCTGTTCTTGTCCTAAGTATTATCGTTCATTACAAACCTTCGTTTGATTATTCTAATCAGTAACCTTCCCTATATATATATATATATATATAGAGAGAGAGAGAGTGAGAGATGATTCATTGAGGAATTTAGACATGTTTTGTCTTATTATTTTGAATTGGATCCTTTCATATTCCCGGACAAGCTTTGTGGTGTCGTTATTGAGGAACAAGAGAAAATCGCCGTGTTCGTATATATTATTTATTCTGAGTACTTTCGACATAGCACAATGTCATCATCAGGGTGTTGTTTATTGATGACCACCAAAAGGATGTTTCTCGATCACTACAGTCTTAACCTATTGAAATCCAGAGTTAACCGTTATCTTTCCCTCCTATACGTATAAACTTCCCGTTTAGGTAAATTCCTACGACGAGTGGCCTTTGTACAGGGTGAATTGTAGCGTAAAAAAAGTAGGTTGGACGCTGCTCCAGTCTTTTACCCTCTTGCTTTCAATGTGTCGTGTAAGTAAAATTTTACAGACCTTCTTTTTATGTGCCCCGGAAATTTCAACTGTCTATTTCTGATGTTTTATCCTTTTTGTGACCATTTTTCTCAACACTTCTTCGTGGTTTATATGCTCCCTCCATGGCATTCTTTGTTTTCTTCAGTCGAAATAAATCTCTAGTTACCTTATAAAGTCTCTTCATCAGTAGTAAATTATCTAGGCCAATTTCATCATCATGTTCTATAAATCTCAACCCTTCTTGATTGTAAGTTCGTTGTAGTTCCTACTGAACATTTCCTCACTACTTATGTACTCAGTTCATGGGATTCTCAGCATCCTTCTGGGGAATCAAATCTCTGTTATTTTAAGAATTCTCATCATCTTCGAGGAAATTGCCATATAGGAGAATTGATACTACATAGCGCTTCAGCAGTATTTTCTTTTTGTCTAACGAAAACTTCTTGTTTTTTGTTACTTTTTTTTCTTCAAACACATCTTTCATTGTCTGTCTATATTTCTGAGATGAGGTATTATGTACAGTATTTACATTAGTCGGACTATTGTCCTCATCTTTGTCGCCATATTTGTCACAACGTTTCGGCCGTTGTACGCTCCGGCCTTCTTCAGGTTCCTCAAGGACACATGGCACAGTGGATAAAGGCGTTGGTTAGATCCAGTGACAGACCCAAAGAAGGTGAGTTCAATACCTGGTTAAGGCAGTGGAGAACTTTCAGAGGGAAAATTAGCAGGAGATAACTGATAACTGACATCCATCAAACATGGCACGTAGAACTAGAACAGTCTACCCCAGTGATCGAAATAAAGGGTTCAGTTCGAAATTCCAACCACCTGAAGAAGGCCGGAGCGTACAACGGCCGAAACGTTGTGACAAATATGGCGACAAAGATGAGGACAATAGTCCGACTAATGTAAATACTGCATCTTTCATTGTTCCAATGTGCCTTCGGATTCCAGTGTCGCACATTACGTCCCCTGTCAAAACCCAAACGCGATGGGACAATTTCTGGGCTTACTTGCTTTTGACTTCTTCAATTCGTAGTACGTATCTTGGGAGTTTTTTTCTCTCCTGCCGACAACCATAAAGTTAATTTCTAAATAGACAAGTTACGAGGGTCATTCAATAAATAAGGTGAATTTTTCGGTATAAGGACTTCTAATACAGATAGAAGCTTACTTTTTTATTTATTTATTTTTTGTACTTCTTTTTCACATGGATTTAATTTATTTTGCAGATTAAAAAAACAGTTTGAGCGTTTTGGTGATTAACAAAGATGGCCGACCAAGAAACATGCTCCAGGATTGAACAGCGGTCAATTATCAAGTTTTTGGTTGCTGAAGGATGCAAACAAGTTGAAATTCATAGGAGAATGTCAACTGTGTATGTTGCCACATGTTTCAACAAAAAAATGTCTACAAATGGGCTAAATTGTTTAAAGAAGGACGGAGCAGTGTTGAGGATGAAGACAGGCCTGGGAGGCCTACAGAAGTGAGGTCTCCTGGGGTGATCGAATCAGTCAATGACCTCATTTAGTCTGACAGAAGGGTGACAGTGGATGACTTATCTGTTGGGACAGCACACAAAATTTTCCATGATGACCTTGGCTACTTGAAGGTCAGCTGCCGGTGGGTGCCAAAGATGCAGAGCCCAAACAGAGGAGGGTCGAGTTGTCCCAGCAGTGTCTCTCCCGCTATGAGAAGAATGGTGATGAGTTTCTGAAGAAGGTGGTCACATGAGACGAGACATGGGTTTGGCACTATGAGCCTGAGTCCAAACGGCAGTCCATGGAGTGGAAGCACGGGCTCTCAGCGAAGAAGAAGTTCAAGTCCCAGCGGTCCACAGGAAGGTGATGCTCACCGTTTTTGGGATGAAAAAGGCCCAATCACCATTTCATGCCTTGATAAAGGAAGCACTGTGAACAGTGCCAACTACTGTGAACTGCTGAGGCAGGTCAAGAAAGACATAAAGAACAAACGCAGGGGTCATCAGTCAGAAGGAGTCACCTTGCATCATAACAACGCAAGGCCTCACACAGCAGCGCAAACGGTGCATACCATCGACGAGCTGGGCTGGGAACTGCTCCCTCATCCCCCTTACAGCCCAGACCTTGCCCCTTCAGACTTTCACCTTTTGGTCCCTTGAAAGCGTTCACGAGAGGCACGAAGTTTAAAAGTGAGGATGAAGTCAAAAGTGTTGTGAGCGACTGGCTGAGACATCAGTCCAAAGATTTTTACGCTGAGGGAATACGGAAGCTTGTGCACAGATGGGAAAAGTGTGTGACAGTGCTGGGAGACTACGTTGAAAAAAAAAAAAAGGAAGCTTCTATCTGTATTAGAAGTCCTTATACCGAAAAATTCACCTTATTTATTGAATGACCCTCGTATATTTATATAAGAATTAGATCTACACCATCATTCTGATTATAACTTTTACGAAACAAATATTTATTATTCAACATTATATTCTTCCTTGACAACGTAATTAACTACTGCTCTCCGCTTAATTAAGTAATTCGTACATTATACAGGGAAAGTTCAGATCCCGATTTTGATTATGCAAGGTGTAACAAAATATGTTCTTCGTGGTTTGGCATAATAGTGGATCTCGGTCTTTCTCGATCCATAAGTTGTGGTGCCACAGATCTTGTCTGAAGCAACGCGATGATAAACAGCAGCAAAAATTGGATGACTCGGTTTCTTTCTGTTTGGAAACGCAATCTGATCAAGTCGGGCATCCTCGCTTCCATTACCTTTCACGCGGCTGTATTTAAAAATAATATCCGTTCACGGTATGAATATACTGCCATCGTTAAACGGCACACTTTTCAGTTAACTCGCTATTACACACGTTAGACGTTGAAGGCAGGCTAACGCCAAATGTACATGAACGACTAATGTAATTTAGTCAACATGGCAACACAGCGCCATCTATCGTAAATTTCTTTAAACTTCTGTGTTAATCTCCTCAAAATACCCTTCTCCTGTTCTCTCTCGAGTAAACTCTCTTCTCTATTTTTCCTTCTTCGGTCTTTCTGTCTTTATTAAGATTATTTCAAGAATTTCTTCTTTCTTCACATCCCTTGCTTTGCGTTAATCTTAAAATATATTCTTCAATTTTTCGTTCTTCAGTCTTTCTCTTGGATAACCATCATTCGAGAATTTTCCTTTCTTAACATTCCTTTTCGCTCTGTGTTAAATTCTTTCCTTGATTTTTCATTTTTATTTTCAGTCCTACTCTCTTGGTTAACCCTCATTCGAGAATGTTCCTTTCTTAATATTCTATGTCGCTCTTTGGTATTCTTTAAATTTCCTTCTAGGTTTTTCATGCTTCTGTCATTCTCTGTGGGTTAAACTTTCGAGTTTTTTTTCTTTCTCCTCATCCTTCTTTTCCCTCTGTTAATCTTTAAACTTCTTCCTCAATTTTTCATTCTTCTTTCGGAGTTGAACTTTTAATAATGTCTTTTCCTTTTATACATACTTCTTCCCTTTGTATTAATTTTTAAATTTACGCCTCGATATTTTTTCTTCCCTCTTGGTTAGACATTCTTATTTCTTGTTAATCCTTTTTCCTCCCCTTCTTTTACACGTTCTTTTCTTTTCTCACTATCTTCTTGGAAACTTAAGAACGACAGGAAAAGAAGAAAGGAAACTTACAAAAGATCCGGCAAATTGAATTAATAGAGAGAGAAGTGATCGATGAAAGAAAAGTTCAGGAAATATGTTCAGCGACAAAAGGAGGGAAGGATGGAAATACCGAAACCAGTCAAGGGAAAGAAGAAGAAGAAGAAGAAGAAGAAGAAAATAAAGAAGAAGGAGAAGAAGTAGGAGGAGTGGAAGGAAGCTATAAAGAAGAAGTAGGAGGAGGGGAGGAAGTGACGAAGAAGAAGAAGAAGGAGGTGAAGAATAAAAAGGGGAGGAGGAGGAGGAAGTGGAGAAGAAGAAGAAAGAAGAAGACGAAGGATGACGAGGAAGTGGAGAAGGAGGAGGAGGAGAAAGTGAAGAAGGAGGAGAAGGCGGAAATGGAGAAGAATAAGGAGGAGGAGGAGGAGGAGCAAGTAGAGAAGGAGAAGAAGGAAGATGAGGAAGTGGAGAAAAAAGAATGAGAAGGAGAAATTGAAGAAAATAAAAGGGGAGGAGGCATATTGAAGAAGGAGGAGGAAAAGAAATGGAGAAGAAGAAGAAGAAGAAAAAGGAGGATGATGGGGGAAATTGAGAGGAGAAGGAGGACGATGAGGTGGTGGAGAAAAAAGAATGAGAAGGAGAAATTGAAGAAGAAGTAAAAGGGGGAGGAGGAAGTGGCGAAGAAGAAGGAGGAGGAACAGGAAATGGAGAAGAAGAAGAAGAAGGAGGATGAGGAGGAAGTAGAGAAGGAGAAGGAGAACGATGAGGAAGTGGAGAAAAAAGAATGAGAAGGAGGAATTGAAGAAGAAGTAAAAGAAGGAAGAGGAGGAGGAGGAAATGGCGAAGACGGAGGAGGAGGAGAAGGAATTGGAGCAGAAGAAGAAGGGAAAGGTGGAGGAAATGCAGAAGAAGAAGGAGGAGGAGGAGGTGGAGGTAAAAAAAAGAAGAAAAGTAGGAGGAGAAGGAGGTGAGGAAGAAGAAGTTGCTTTCTTTTTCTACTCTCTTTCTTTCGCTCTTAATTTTCGACTTAGTTTTAATTCGTTATCTTTCCTTCGACAATTCTTTCTCCTCTTACAAATAACCTTCAACTTCTTGCAGTTTGTTCTCTTGATCTTTGTTGTTGAATGTATCAATTCAAACATTTTATACAAGCGTTTTATCATCATCGAAAGAATACAAAGGAAATTTACAGATAGGAAAATGTAAAAACAAAAAAAAATAAAATAAAAATAAGACCGAAAAAAACAAATCTGAAGTTCTATCTATTTAGTTATTTATTTGTATTGAAAGGCAATTTTCGACTTTTTACAGCAATAATAATTGTACAAATTATGCTTTATTATTGTCGCATAATTTGTCTGTTGTAAATGTTTACTGTAAAGTGAAATAAATTCGCATATTGCTTGAGCGATGGAGAAAAGAATTAGCCTCCCACAGACTACATCGAAAAACTTACAATGGACTCGGAAATTGCTTTTAATAAAACAGGCTTTAGAGCGCCAATTTTGAATTTGATCATTTTCACTCGTAATAAAAACCGGGAAAATTATTTGTAAAAGTCTAAATTAAGTATTTTATGGAAATAATGAATAGAGACAAAAACAAAAATAATAATAAATTTGATAACATGTTGGAAAAGAGAACTGTGTTGTTGTCATCACTGCCAACGCTGTTACAAATACTAACACTCGTACAATGATGATGATTATGATGATCATCAGCAACAACAACAACGACAATAATAATAATAATAATAATAATAATAATAATAATAATAATAATAGATTTCAGGGTTGGTAGTAAAATTCCAGGATTTGTGATGTTGATTATCTAGACTGGCAGGAACTTATTCATAGAAAATTGATTAATCATAATCTTGACTACCATACATATTCCCACATTCTCCATGTTTCTTTCTCGCTTCTATATCGATTTGTATCTTCTACTCTCTTTCTATATTTTAAATTGTATCTTCTTTCCAGATCTTTTCCTTTCTTCACGCCCTTCCTCTATAACTCACTCTCTTAATTTATATCTTCTTTCCAGATCTTTACCTTTCTTCACGCCCTCGCTCTATCACTCCCTCTCTTAATTTGTATCTTCTTTCCAGATCTTTTCCTTTCTTCACGCCCTCGCTCTATAACTCCCTCTCATAATTTGTATCTTCTTTCCAGATCTTTTCCTTTCTTCACGCCCTCGTTCTATCACTACCTCTCATAATTTTTATCTTCTTTCCAGATCTTTTCCTTTCTTCACGCCCTCCCTCTATAACTACCTCTCATAATTTGTATCTTCTTTCCAGATCTTTTCCGTTCTTCACGCCCTTTCTCTATAACTCCTTCTCATAATTTGTATCTTCTTTCCAGATGTTTTCCTTTCTTCACGCCCTCCCTCTATAACTCCCTCTCATAATTTGTATCTTCTTTCCAGATCTTTTCCTTTCTTCACGCCCTTTCACTATAACTCCGTCTCTTAATTTGTATCTTCTTTCCAGATCTTTACCTTTCTTCACGCCCTCGCTCTATCACTCCCTCTCATAATTTGTATCTTCTTTCCAGATCTTTACCTTTCTTCACGCCCTCGCTCTATCACTCCCTCTCTTAATTTGTATCTTCATTCCAGATCTTTACCTTTCTTCATGCCCTCGCTCTATCACTCCCTCTCATAATTTGTATCTTCTTTCCAGATCTTTTCCCTTTCTTCACGCCCCTCTCTCTATCCCTCTCTTAATTTGTATCTTCTTTCCAGATCTTTACCTTTCCTCACGCGCTCGCTCTATAACTCCCTCTCATAATTTGTATCTTCTTTCCAGATCTTTTCCTTTCTTTACGCCCAGCCCTTTATAACTCCCTCACTTAATTTGTATCTTCTTTCCAGATCTTTTCCTTTCTTCACGCCCTCCCTCTATAACTCCCTCTCTTAATTTGTATCTTCTTTCCAGATCTTTTCATTTCTTCACGCCCTCCCTCTATAACTCCCTTCATAATTTGTATCTTCTTTCAAGATCTTTTCATTTCTTCACGCCCTCCCTCTATAACTCCCTCTCTTAATTTGTATCTTCTTTCCAGATCTTTTCAATTCTTCACGCCCTCCCTCGATAACTCCCTCTCTTAATTTGTATCTTCTTTCCAGATCTTTTCATTTCTTCACGTCCTCCCTCTATAACTCCTGCTCATAATTTGTATCTTCTTTCCAGATCTTTTCCTTTCTTCACGCCCTTTCTCTATAACTCTCTCTCTTAATTTGTATCTTCTTTCCAGATCTTTTCATTTCTTCACGCCCTCCCTCTATAACTCCCTCTCTTAATTTGTATCTTCTTTCCAGATCTTTTCCTTTCTTCACGCCCTTCCTCTATAACTCCCTCTCATAATTTGTATCTTCTTTCCAGATCTTTTCCTTTCTTCACGCCCTCCCTCTATAACTCCCTCTCTTAATTTGTATCTTCTTTCAAGATCTTTTCATTTCTTCACGCCCTCCCTCTATAACTCCCTTCATAATTTGTATCTTCTTTCAAGATCTTTTCATTTCTTCACGCCCTCCCTCTATAACTCCCTCTCTTAATTTGTATCTTCTTTCCAGATCTTTTCAATTCTTCGCCCTCCCTCGATAACTCCCTCTCTTAATTTGTATCTTCTTTTCAAGATCTTTTCATTTCTTCGTCCTCCTCTATAACTCCTTCTCATAATTTTATCTTCTTTCCAGATCTTATCCTTTCTTCCGCCCTTCTCTATAACTCCTCTCTTAATTTGTATCTTCTTTCCAGATCTTTTCATTTCTTCACGCCCTCCTCTATAACTCCTCTCTTAATTTGTATCTTCTTTTCCAATCTTTTCCTTTCTTCACGTCCTCCTCTATAACTCCCTCTCATAATTTGTACCTTCTTTCCAGATCTTTTCCTTTCTTCACGCCCTCCCTCTATAACCCTCTCTTAATTTTTGTATCTTTTCCAGATCTTTTCATTTCTTCACGCCCTCCCTCTATAACTCCCTTCATAATTTGTATCTTCTTTCAAGATCTTTTCATTTCTTCACGCCCTCCCTCTATAACTCCCTCTCTTAATTTGTATCTTCCTTCCAGATCTTTTCAATTCTTCACGCCCTCCCTCGATAACTCCCTCTCTTAATTTGTATCTTCTTTCCAGATCTTTTCATTTCTTCACGTCCTCCCTCTATAACTCCTTCTCATAATTTGTATCTTCTTTCCAGATCTTTTCCTTCCTTCACGCCATTTCTCTATAACTCCCTCTCTTAATTTGTATCTTCTTTCCAGATCTTTTCATTTCTTCACGCCCTCCCTCTATAACTCCCTCTCTTAATTTGTATCTTCTTTCCAGATCTTTTCCTTTCTTCACGCCCCCTCCTCTCTAACTCCCTATATGTTAATTTGTGCCTTCTTTCCAGATCTTTTCCTTTCTTTCCGCCTCCCTCTATAACTCCCTCTCTTAATTTGTATCTTGTTTCCAGATCATTTTCCTTTCTTCCCGCCCTCCTCCATAACTCCTCTCTTAATTTGTATCTTCTTTCAAGATCTTTTCATTTCTTCAGCCCCTCCCTCTCTAACTCCTTCATAATTTGTATCTTCTTTCAAAGATCTTTTCATTTCTTCACGCCCTCCTCTATGCTCCTCTCTTAATTTTGTATCTTCTTTCCAGATCTTTTCATTCTTCACGCCCTCCCTCGATAACTCCTCTCTTAATTTGTATCTTCTTTCCAGATCTTTTCATTTCTTCACGTCCTCCTCTATAACTCCTTCTCTTAATTTGTATCTTCTTTTCCAGATCTTTTCTTTCTTCACCCTTTCTCTATAACTCCCTCTCTTAATTTGTATCTTCTTTCCAGATCTTTTCATTTCTTCACGTCCCTCCTCTATAACTCCCTCTCTTAATTTGTATCTTCTTTCCAGATCTTTTTCCTTTCTTCACGCCCTATTCTATAACTCCCTCTTAATTTGTATCTTCTTTCCAGATCTTTTTCCATCTTACACGCCCTCCTTTTATAACTCCCTCTCTTAATTTATCATCTTCTTTACAGATATTTTCATTTCTTCACACCCTCCTCTATAAGTCCCTCTCTTAATTTGTATCTTCTTGAGATCTTTTCCTTTCTTCCGCCCTTCTCTATAACTCCCTCTCTTAATTTGTATCAATTTTGTGATCTTTTCCTTTCTTCACGTCCCTCGCTCTATCACTCCCTCTTCTTAATTTTGTATCTTTCTTTCCAGATCTTTTCCTTTCTTCCACGATCCTCCTTTATAACTCCCTCACTTAATTTGTATCTTCTTTCCAGATCTTTTCATTTCTTCACACCCTCCCTCTTGCTCCCTATCTTAATTTGTATCTTCTTTCCAGATCTTTTCATTTCTTCACGCCCTCCCTCTATAACTCCTTCTCATAATTTGTATCATCTTTCCAGATCTTTTCCTTTCTTCACGCCCTTTCTCTATAACTCCCTCTCATAATTTGTATCTTCTAGCAGATCTTTTTCCTTACTTCACGCCCCTTTCTCTATAAGTCCCTCTCTTAATTTAGATCTTTTTCCAGATCTTACCTTTCTTCACGCCCTCGCTTTATAACTCCCTCTCTTAATTTGTATCTTCTTTCAAGATCTTTTCCTTTCTTTACGCCCTCCCTTTATAACTCCCCATTTAATTTGTATCTTCTTTTCCAGATCTTTTCCTTTCTTCACGCACTCCTCTATAACTCCCTCTCTTAATTTGTATCTTCTTTCCAGATCTTTTCATTTCTTCACTCCTCCTCTATAACTCCCTCTCTTAATTTGTATCTTCTTTCCAGATCTTTTCCTTTCTTCACGCCCTCCCTCTATAACTCCCCTCTCATAATTTGTATCTTTTTTTCCAGATCTTTTCCTTAGCTTCCACGTCCCTCCCTCTATAACTCCCCTTTCTTAATTTGTATCTTCTTTCAAAGATCTTTTCATTTCTTCACGCCCTCCTCTATAACTCCCTTCATAATTTGTATCTTCTTTCAAGATCTTTCATTTCTTCACGCCCTCCCTCCTATCTCCCCTCTCTTAATTTGTATCTTCTTTCCAGATCTTTTTCAATTCTTCGCCCTCCCTCGATAACTCCCTCTCTTAATTTTTATCTTCTTTCCAGATCTTTTTCATTTCTTCACGTCCTCCCCTCATAACTCCCTTCTCATAATTTGTATCTTCTTTCCAGATCTTTTCCTTTCTTCACGCCCTTTCTCTATAGCTCCCTCTCTTAATTTGTATCTTCTTTCCAGATCTTTTTCATTTCTTCTACGCCCTCCTCTATAACTCCTCTCTTAATTTGTATCTTCTTTTTCCAGATCTTTCCCTTTCTTCACACCTCATTAACTCCCTCTCTTAATTTCGTCCTTTTTTTCAGATCTTTTCCTTTCTTCACGCCCTCCCTATTTATAACTCCCTCTTAATTTTGTATCTTCTTTCCAAGATATTTTTTCATTTCTTTGCCCTCCCTCTATCGTCCATATTTTTAATTTGTATCTTCTTTCAAGATCTTTTCATTTCTTCGCCTCCTCCCTATAACTCCCTTCATAATTTGTATCTTCTTTCCAGATCATTTTCCTTTTCTTCACGTCCATTTTCTCTATAACTCCCTCTCTTAATTTGTTCATCTCTTTTCCAGATCTTTTCATTTTCTTCCGCCCTCCCTCTATATTCCCTCTCTTAATTTGTATCTTCTTTCCAGATCTTTCCTTTCTTCATGCCCTCCTCTATATCCCTCTCATAATTTGTACCTTCTTTCCAGATCTTTTTCCTTTCTTCACACCCCCCCTCATATTAACTCCCTCTCTTAATTTGTATCTTCTTTCCAGATCTTTTCATTTCTTTGCCCTCCTCTATAACTCCCTTGTTAATTTGCATCTTCTTTCAAGATCTTTTCATTTCTTCCCCCTCCCTCGATAACTCCCCCTCTCTTCATTTGTCCTTCTTCCTTCCAGATCTTTCAATTCTTCACACCCTGTTGAGATAACTCCCTCTCTTAATTTGTATCTTCTTTCCAGATCTTTTCATTTCTTCACGTCACTCCTCCATAACTCCTTCTCATAATTTGTATCTTCTTTCCAGATCTTTTCATTTCTTCACGCCATATTCTCGATAACTCCTCTCTAATTTGTATCTTCTTTCCAGATCTTTTCATTTCTTCACACATTTTTCTTTTTAGATCTTTCCTTTCTTAGCATCGTCTATATTCTTTTCCAGATCTTTTCTTTTCCTTTCTTCACGCCCTCCTCTATAACCCCTCTCTTAATTTATATCTTTTTTCCAGATTTGTTTTTCATTTCTTTACACCTCCCTCCATAACTCCATCTCTTAATTTTTATCTTCTTTTCAAGATTTTTCATTTCTTCAGATCCCTCCCTCTATAACTCCCTCTCTTAATTTGTATCTTCTTTCCAGATCTTTTCCTTTCTTCACGTCCCTAATTCCTACCTCCCCTCTTAATTTTATCTTCTTTCCAGATCTTTCATTTCTTCACGCCCTTTCTCTATTTTTGAGATCCCTCTCTTAATTTGTATCTTCTTTTCCAGATCTTTACCTTTCTTTTACCCTCCCTCTATCACTCCCTCTCATAATTTGTATCTTCTTTCCAGATCTTTTCATTTCTTCACCCTCCCTCGATAAGATCATTTGTATCTTCTTTCCAGATCTTTTCATATTTCTTCACACCTCCCTCTATAACTCCCTCTCTTAATTTGTATCTTCTTTCCAGAATTTCTTCCACACCCTTCGATAACTCCCTCTCAATTTGTCCTTATTTTTCCAGATCTTTCCATGCTTCTGCCCTCCTCTATAATTCCCTCTCTTAATTTTATCTTCTTTCCTATCTTTTTTTCATTTCTTCACGCCCTCCCTATAACTCCCCCCTCTCTTAATTTGTCTTCTTTCCAGATATTTTCATTTCTTCATCCTCCCTCGATAACTCCTCTCATAATTTTATCTTCTTCCAGATCTTTTCATTTCTTGACGCCCTCCCTCTATAACTCCGTCTCTTAATTTGTATCTTCTTTTCCAGATCTTTTCATTTCTTCACCCCTCCCCTCGATAACCCCTCTCATAATTTGTATCTTCTTTCCAGAGACTTTTCATTTCTTCACACCCTCCCTCGATAACTCCCCTCTCTTAATTTGTATCTTCTTTTTCCAGATTTTTCATTTCTTCACGCCCTCCCTTGATAGCTCCTCTCATAATTTTTTATCTTTTTTCCAGAACTTTTCAATTCTTCACGCCCTCCCTCGATAACTCCCTCATTTAATTTGTATCTTCTTTCCAGATTTTTTCATTTTTCTTCACCTCCTCTCGATAACTCCCTCTCTTAATTTGTATCTTCTTTCCAGATCTTTTCATTTCTTCACACCCTCCCTCGATAACTCCGTCTCTGTAATTTGTATCTTCTTTCCAGATCTTTTCATTTCTTTCACCTCCCTCGATAACTCCCTCTCTTAATTTGTCCAGATCTTCTTTCCAGATATTTTTTCATTTCTTCACGCCCTCCTCTATAACTCCCCCTCTTAATTTGTATCTTCTTTTCCAGATCTTTCATTTCTTCACGCCCTCCCCCTCGATAACTCCCTCTCATAATTTGTCTTCTTTTCCAGATCTTTTCATTTCTTCACACCTCCCTCGATAACTCCTCTCTTAATTTGTATCTTCTTTCCAGATCTTTTCATTTCTTCACCCCTCCTTTATAACTCCCTCTCTTAATTTGTATCTTCTTTCCAGATCTTTTTCATTTCTTCACACCCTCCTCGATAACTCCCTCTAATTTGCATCTTCTTTCCAGATCTTTTCATTTCTTCACGCCCCTCCCTATAACTCCCTCTTATTTTGTATCTTCTTTCCAGATCTTTTCATTTCTTCACACCCTCCCTCGATAACTCCTCTCATAATTTGTATCTTCTTTCCAGATCTTTTCATTTCTTCACGCCCTCCCTCTATAACTCCCCTCTTTGTATCTTCTTTTCCAGATCTTTTATTTCTTCACGCCTTTCCAGATCCTCTTTCATTTGTATCTTTTCTTCTTTTCATTTCACACCTCCCTCGATAACTCCCTCTCTTAATTTTGTATCTTCTTTCCAGATCTTTTCATTTCTTCACGCCCTCCCTCGATAACTCCTCTCTTAATTTGTATCTTCTTCCAGATCTTTTTTCATTTCTTCACGCCCTCCTCTATAACTCCCTCTCTTAATTTGTATCTTCTTTCCAGATCTTTTCATTTCTTCACGCCCTCCTCGATAACTCCCTCTCTTAATTTGTATCTTCTTTCCAGATCTTTTCATTTCTTCACCCCCTCCTCTAACTCCTCTCTATTTTGTATCTTCTTTCCAGATCTTTTCATTTTCTTCACGCCCTCCCTTGATAACTCCCTCTTAATTTTTATCTTCATGCTTTCCAGATCTTTTCATTTCTTCACGCATTTTCTTCACACCCCCTCGATAACTCCCTCTCATAATTTGTATCTTCTTTCCAGATCTTTTCATTTTCTTCACGCCCTCCCTCTATAACTCCCTCTCTTAATTTGTATCTTCTTTCAAGATCTTTTCATTTCTTCACGCCTCCCTCTATAACTCCCTCTCTTAATTTGTATCTTTCTTTCCAGAACTCCCTTTCCTATAACTCCTCTCTTAATTTGTATTTTCTTTCCAGATATTTCATTTCTTCCACGCCCTCCCTCGATAACTCCCTCTTAATTTTGTATCTTCTTTCCAGATTTTCATTTCTTCACACCTCCTCGATAACTCCCTCTCTTAATTTGTATCTTCTTTCCAGATCTTTTCATTTCTTCACCCTCCCTCGATAACTCCCTCTCTTAATTTGTATCTTCTTTTCCAGATCTTTCATTTCTTCACGCCCTCCCTCGATAACTCCCTCTCATATTTGTATCTTCTTTCCAGATCTTTTCATTTCTTCCACCTCCCCCTCCTCGATAACTCTTCTTAATTTGTATCTTCTTTCCAGATCTTTTTCATTGCTTCACGCCCTCCCTCTATAACTCCCTCTTTAATTTGCATCTTCTTTCCAGATCTTTTCATTTCTTCCGCCCTCCCTCGATAACTCCCTCTCTTAATTTGTATCTTCTTTCCAGACTTTTTCATTTCTTCACGCCCTCCTCGATAACTCCCTCTCATAATTTTGTATCTTCTTTCCAGATCTTTTCATTTCTTCACACCTCCCTCGATAACTCCCTCTTAATTTGCCCTATCTTCTTTCCAGATCTTTTTCATTTTTTTCACACCCTCCCTCGATAACTCCCTCTCTTAATTTGTATCTTCTTTCCAGATCTTTTTTCATTTCTTCACGCCCTCCTCTATAACTCCCTCTCTTAATTTGTATCTTCTTTCCAGATCTTTTCATTTCTTCACCCTCCCCTCGATAACTCCCTCTCATAATTTTTATCTTCTTTCCAGATCTTTTTCATTTCTTCACGCCCTCCCATTTTTATAACTCCCTCTCTTAATTTGTATCTTCTTTCCAGAACTTTTCATTTCTTCACGCCCTCCCTCGATAACTCCTTAATTTGTATTTTTAATTTCCAGAACTTCATGCTTCACACCTCCAGATAACTCCCTTTCATTTGTATCTTTCCCAGATCCCATTTCTTCACGCCTCCCTCGATAACTCCCTCTTAATTTGTATCTTCTTCCAGATCTTTTCATTTCTTCACACCTCCTCGATAACTCCTTTCTTAATTTGTATCTACTTTCCATCTTTCATTTTTTCTTCACACTCCCCTCCTCGATAACTAACTCCTCTCTTAATTTGTATCTTCTTTCCAGATCTTTTCATTTCTTCACACCTCCCTCGATAACTCCCTCTCTTAATTTGTATCTTCTTTTCCAGATCTTTTCATTTCTTCACGCCTCCCTCGATAACTCCTCTCTTAATTTGTATCTTCTTTTCCAGATCTTTTCATTTCTTCACGCCTCCCTCGATAACTCCCTCTCTTAATTTGTATCTTCTTTTCCAGATCTTTTCATTTCTTCACGCCCTCCCTCTATAACTCCCTCTCATAATTTGTATCTTTTTCCAGATCTTTTCATTTCTTCACGCCCTCCTCTATAACTCCCTCTCTTAATTTGTATCTTCTTTCCAGATCTTTTCATTTCTTCACGCCCCTCCCCTCGATAACTCCCCTCTCTTAATTTGTATCTTCTTTCCAGATCTTTTCCATAACTCCCCTTCTTAATTTGTATCTTCTTTCCAGATCCCTTTATACCCTCCCCCTCTCATAATTTGTATCTTCTTTCCAGATCTTTTCATTTCTTCACACCCTCCCTCGATAACTCCCTCTTTAATTTGTATCTTCTTTCCAGATCTTTTCATTTCTTCACACCCTCCTCGATAAATCCCTCTCTTAATTTGTATCTTCTTTTCCAGATCTTTTTCATTTCTTCACACCCCTCCTCGATAACTCCCCTCTCTTAATTTGTATCTTCTTTCCAGATCTTTTCATTTCTTCCGCCCTCCTCGATAAGTCCCTCTCTTAATTTGTATCTTCTTTCAGATCTTTTCATTTCTATGCTCCTCTCTAATTTTTCTTCTTTCCTCCCTCCTCGATAACCCTCTCATAATTTTGTCTTCTTTCCAGATCTTTTCATTTTCTTCCGCCCTCCCTCTGATAACTCCTCTCATAATTTGTATCTTCTTTCCAGAACTTTTCATTTCTTCACCCTCCTCTGTAACTCCTCCCTCTCTTCTTTTCCAATCTTTTTTCTTCCACCCTCCTTCTTTCCATTTGTATCTTCTTTGATCTTTTCTTTCTTCGCCCTCCCTCTATAACTCCTCTCTCTAATTTTGTATCTTCTTTCCAGATCTTTTCGTTTCTTCCGCCCTCCCTCGATAACTCCCTCTCATAATTTGTATCTTCTTTCCAGATCTTTTCATTTCTTCACGCCCTCCTCTATAACTCCCCTCTCTTATTTGTGTCTTCTTCCAGATCTTTCTGTTTTCTTCACGCCCCTCTACTCCCTCTCATAATTTGTATCTTCTTTTGGAACTTTTCATTTCCGCCTCCTTCGATAACTCCCTCTCCTCTCTTTATTTTTCTTCACACACTCCTTAACTTTCCAGATCTTTTTCATTTCTTCACGCCTTCCCCTCGATAACTCCCTCTCTTAATTTGTATCTTCTTTCCAGATCTTTTCATTTCTTCACGCCCCTCCCTCTATAACTCTCTCTTAATATCTTGTATTTTTCTTTTTCCAGATCTTTTTTCATTTCTTTCACGCCTCCTCTATAACTCCCTCTCTTAATTTGTATCTTCTTTCCAGATCTTTTCATTTTTTCACGCCCTCCTCGATAACTCCTCTCTTAATTTGTATCTTCTTTCCAGATCTTTAACTCCTCTCTTAATATGTGTATTTTCCCAGATATTTCTTCACGCCTCCCTATAACTCCCTCTCCTAATTTTATCTTCTTTCCAGAACTTTTTTCATTTCTTCACCCCTCCTCGATAACTCCCTCTAATTTGTATCTTCTTCCAGATCTTTCATTTCTTCACGCCCTCCCTTTATAACTCCCTCCTTAATTTGTATCTTCTTTCCAGAACTTTTCATTTCTTCACGCTCCCTCCTTAATTTGTATCCTCCGATCTTTTCAACTCCACCTCCCTCTAACTCCCTCTCTTATCTTCTTTATCTTTTATTTCTTCTTCTTTCCAGGGTTTTTTCATTTCTTCACGCCCCTCCCTCGATAACTCCCTCTCATAATTTGTATCTTCTTTCCAGATCTTTTCATTTCTTCTTACCCTCCCTCTATAACTCCCTCTTAATTTGTCTTCTTTTTCCAGATCTTTTCATTCTTCCACCCTCCCTCGATAACTCCTCTTGTATCTTCTTTTCCAGATCTTTTCATTTCTTCACGCCCTCCCTCGATAACTCCCTCTCTTAATTTGTATCTTCTTTTCCAGATCTTTTTTCTTTCACGCCCTCCCTCACATAATTTATCTCTCTTAATTTGTATCTTCTCCTTTCCAGATCTTTTTTCATTTCTTCACACCCTCCCTCTATAACTCCCTCTCATAATTTGTATCTTCTTTTCCAGATATTTTTCATTTCTTCACGCCCTCCTTCGATAACTCCCTCTCCAATTTGTATCTTCTTTCCAGATCTTTTTTGTTTCTTCACACTCCCTCGATAACTCCCCTCTTAATTTCATCTCTTATCTTTTCATTTCTTCCAGAACCCCTTTTTGTATCTTCTTTCCAGATCTTTTCACACCTCCCTCGATAACTCCCTCTCTTAATTTGTATCTTCTTTCCAGATCTTTTCATTTCTTCACGCCCTCCCTCTATAACTCCCTCTCTTATTTTGTCTTCTTTCTTTTCATTTCTGTATCCCTCGATAACTCCCTCTCAGATATCTTCTTTTCTTTTCATTTATTACCACCCTCCTCGATAACTCCCTCTCTTAATTTGTATCTTCTTTCCAGATCTTTTCATTTCTTCCACCTCCCTCGATAACTCCCTCTCTTAATTTGTATCTTCTTTTTCCAGACCTTTTCATATTCTTCATTTGTATCTTCCTCCCTCTTTCTTTTCCCCTCTCTCTCTTTGTGTATCTTCTTTCCAGATATTTCATTTTCTTCGCCTCCCTCAATAACCCCCTCTCATATCTTCTTTGTATTTTCCATACTTTTCCAGGACTCCCTTTTTCATTTCTTTTCCACACTTCCACCCTCCTCGATAACTCCCTCTCTTAATTTGTATCTTCTTTCTTTCCAGATCTTTTCATTTTCTTCACACCTCCTCGATAACTCCCTCCATATTTTGTATCTTCTTTTCCAGATCTTTTCATTTCTTCGCCCTCCCTCGATAACTCCCTCTCTTAATTTGTATCTTCTTTCAGATCTTTTCATTTCTTCACACCCTCCCTCTATAACTCCTCTCTTAATTTGTATCTTCTTTCCAATCTTTCATTTCTTCACGCCCCCTCGATAACTCCCTCTTAATTTGTCTTCTTCTTCCAGATCTTTTTCATTTTCCTTCACGCCCTCCTCTATAACTCCCTCTCATAATTTGTATCTTCTTTCCAGATCTTTTCATTTCTTCCACCCCTCCTCTATAACTCCCTCTCTTAATTTGGATCTTCTTTGAATCTTTTTCATTTCTTCCCCCTCCTCGATAACTCCCTCTCATATTTTGTATCTTCTTTTCCAGATCTTCATTCTTCACCCTCCCTCTATAACTCCTCTCTTCAATTTGTATGTTCTTTCCAGATCTTTTTCATTTTTCCGCCCTCCCTCTATAACTCCCTCTCATAATTTTGTATCTTCTTTCCAGATCTTTTCATTTCTTCCGCCCTCCTCTATATCCCCTCTGTGTATGTCTTCTTTCCAATTTTTCATTTCTTCACGCACTCCCTTCTTTCTCATAATTTTTCTTCATTTTTCCATGCTTCACGCCCTCCCTTTATAACTCCCTCTCTTAATTTGTATCTTCTTTCCAGATATTTCATTTCTTCACGCCCTCCCTCATTAACTCCTCTCTTAATTTGTATCTTTACTTTCCAGATCTTTTCATTTCTTCACGCCCTCCTCTATAACTCCCTCTCTAATTTGTCTCTTCTTTCCAGATCTTTTCATTTCTTCACACCCTCCTCGATAACTCCCTCTCTTAATTTGTATCTTCTTTTCCAGATCTTTTTCATTTCTTCCACCCTCCTCGATAACTCCCCTCTTAATTTGCATCTTCTTTCCAGATCTTTCTTCCACAACTCCTCATTTTCTTCCCTCTCATAATTTGTATCTTCTTTCCAGATCTTTTTCATTTCTTCACACCCTCCCTCGATAACTCCCCTCTCATAATTTTATCTTCTTTCCAGAACTTTTCATTTTCTTCACATCCTCCCTCGATAACTCCCTCTTCATTTGTATCTTCTTATCTTTGTTTCTTCACACCTTTTCCATCTTCTTTTCATTTCTTTCATTTCTTACCCCTCGATAACTCCCTCTCTTAATTTGTATCTTCTTTCCAGATCTTTTCATTTCTTCACACCCTCCCTCGATAACTCCCTCTCTTATTTGTATCTTCTTTCCAGATCTTTTTTTCCTTTTCCCTCCTCTCACACCCTCTCTCTTGTTGTATCTTTGCTTTTAACTTTTCATGTCTCCGCCCTCCTCCTTTAATCCCTCTGTATCTTCTTTCCAGATCTTTTTCATTGCTTCACACCTCCCTCGATAACTCCCTCTCTTAATTTGTATCTTCTTTCCATAATCCTCTCCTTTATTTCTTTCCACACCCTCCCCTCGATAATTTCCCTCTCTTAATTTGTATCTTCTTTCCAGATCTTTTTTCTTCTTCCCCCCTCCTCTATAACCTCCTCTAATATTTTATCTTCTTCCAGATCTTTTTCATTTCTTCACGCCCCTCCCTCGATAACTCCCTCTCAATTTGTATCTTCTTTTCCAGAACTTTCATCCATGCTTCACGCCTCCTCTATAACTCCTCTCATAATTTGTATCTTCTTTCCCAGATCTTTTCATTTCTTCACACCCTCCCTCGATAACTCCCTCTCTTAATTTGTATCTTCTTTCCAGATCTTTTTCATTTCTTCTCACACCTCCCTCGATAACTCCCTCTCTTAATTTGTATCTTCTTTCCAGATCTTTCCATTTTCTTCACACCCTCCCTCGATAACTCCCCTCTTAATTTGGATCTTCTTTTCCAGATCTTTTCATTTCTTCACGCCCCTCCTCTGATAACTCCCCTCTCATAATTTGCATCTTCTTTCCAGATCTTTCATTTCTTTCACGCCCTCCCTCGACAACTCCCTCTCTTAATTTGTATCTTCTTTCCAGATCTTTTCATTTTTCACGCCCTCCTCTATAAGTCCCTCTCATAATTTGTATCTTCTTTCCAGATCTTTTCATTTCTTCACGCCCTCCTCTATAACTCCCTCTCCTAATGTTTGTCTTCTTTCCAGATCTTTTCATTTTTCCACTCGATAGCTCCTCTCATAATTTTTCTTCACTTTCCTCCCTCGATAACTCCCTCCTCTTTCACTTGTATGCTTTCCGAATCTTTTTTCATTTCTTCACACCCTCCCTCTATAACTCCCTCTCTTAATTTGTATCTTCTTTCAGATCTTTTTCATTTTTTCACGCCCTCCTCGATAAGTCCTCTCCCTAATTTGTATCTTCTTTCCAGATCTTTTCATTTCTTCACACCCTCCTCTCTCTAACTCCTCTTAGTTTATCTTCTTTCCAGATCTTTTCATTCTTCACGCCTCACCGATAACTCCCTCTCATATTTTTATCTTCTTTCCAGATATTTCATTTCTTCACGCCCTCCCTTTATAACTCCCTCTCATAATTTGTATCTTCTTTCCAGAACTTTTCATTTCTTCACCCTCCTTCGATAACTCCCTCTCTTCATTTGTATCTTCTTTCCAGATCTTTTCATTTCTTCACGCCCTCCCTCTATAACTCCCCTCTCTAATTTTGTATCTTCTTTTCCAGATCTTTTCATTTTTCATCCTCCTCGATACAACTCCCTCTCTTCATTTGTATCTTTCTTTCCAGATCTTTTTCATTTCTTCACGCTCCTCAGTAACTCCCACTCTTAATTTGTATCTTCTTTCCAGATATTTCATTTCTTCCAAGCCCTCCCTCGATAACTCCCTCTCATAATTTGTATCTTCTTTCCAGAACTTTTTCATTTCTTCACACCCTCCTTCGATAACTCCCCTCTCTTCATTTGTATCTTCTTCCCAGATCTTTTTTCATTTCTTCACACCCTCCTCGATAACTCCCTCTCATAATTTGTATCTTCTTTCCAGGCTTTTTCATTTCTTCACATCCTCCCCTCGATAACTCCTCTCTTCATTTGCATCTTCTTTTCCAGATCTTTTTTCATTTTCTTCACACCCTCCCTCGATAACTCCCTCTCTTAATTTGTATCTTCTTTCCAGATCTTTTCATTTCTTCACGCCTCCCTCGATAAGTCCCTCTCTTAATTTGTATCTTCTTTCCAGATCTTTTCATTTCTTCACGCCCTCCCTCTATAACTTTCCCTCTCATAATTTGTATCTTCTTTCCAGAACTTTTCCATGTTTCCTTGCCCTCCTTTCACTCCCTCTCATCCTTATCTTCTTTCCAGATCTTTTCAACTCCCTCTCTTAATTTGTATCTTCTTTCCAGATCTTTTTCATTTCTTCACACCCTCCTCGATAACTCCCTTAATTTGTATCTTCTTTTCCAGATCTTTTCATTTCTTCACACCTCGATAATTCCCTCGATAACTCCCCTCTCTCTCATAATTTGTATCTTCTTTCCAGATCTTTTCATTTCTTCACGCCCTCCCTCGATAACTCCCTCTTTAATTTGTATCTTCTTTCCAGATTTTTTCATTTCTTCACGCCCTCCTCGATAACTCCTCTCTTAATTTGTATCTTCTTTCCAGATCTTTTCATTCTTCCGCCTCCCTCTATAACTCCTCTCTTAATTTGTATCTTCTTTCCAGATCTTTTCATTTCTTTCAAGCCCTCCTGATAAGTCCCTCCTTAATTTGTATCTTCTTTCCAGATCTTTTCATTTCTTCACCCCTCCCTCGATAACTCCCCTCATTTTGTATCTTCTTTCCAGATCTTTTCATTTCTTCACCCTCCTCTATAACTCCTCTCTCATAATTTGTATCTTCTTTCCAGATCTTTTCATTTCTTTCACGCCCTCCTCGATAACTCCCTCTTAATTTGTATCTTCTTTTCCAGATCTTTTCATTTTCTTCAACTCCCCTCTCTCTTCTTTTCCAGATCTTTTCGATAACTCCCTCTCTTAATTTTTATCTTCTTTCCAGATCTTTTCATTTCTTCACACCCTCCTCGATAACCCTCGATAACTCTCCAGTGGTATCTTTTTCAGATATTTTAATCTTAATTTATCTTCTTTCCAGATCTTTTCATTTCTTCACGCCCTCCCTCGATAACTCCCTCTCTTAATTTTGTATCTTCTTTCCGGATCTTTTTCATTTCTTCACGCCCTCCTCTATAACTCCTCTTAATTTGCATCTTCTTTCCAGATCTTTTTTTCATTTCTTTCACCCTCCCTCTATAATCCCTCTCTTAATGTATCTTCTTTTCCAGATCTTTTCATTTCTTCACGCCCACTCCTCTATCTCCTCTCATAATTTTATCTTCTTTCCAGAATTTTTTCTTCACGCCCTCCCTTTATAACTCCTCTCATAATTTGTGTCTTTTTTCCAGAACTTTTCATTTCTTCACACCCTCCCCTCGATAACTCCCCTCTCTTCATTTGTATCTTCTTTCCAGATCCTTTTCATTTCTTCACGCCCTCCTCGATAACTCCCTCTCTAATTTGTATCTTCTTTCCAGATCTTTTCATTTCTTTACCTCCTCATCGATAACTCCCTCTCTTAATTTGTATCTTCTTCCAGATCTTTTCTATTTTCTTCCACCCTCCCTCGATAACTCCCTCTTAATTTTGTATTTTCTTTCCAGATCTTTTCATTTCTTCACCTCCTCGATGTCCCTCCCTTAATTTAACTTTCCCTTTCATTTCTTCCCACCCTCCTCTATAACTCCTCTCTTAATTTGTATCTTCTTTCCAGATCTTTTCATTTCTTTCCTCCTCGATAACTCCCTCTCATAATTTTATCTTCTTTCCAGAACTTTTCATATCTCACACCCTCCCTTCGATAACTCCCTCTCATAATTTATCTTCTTTTCCAGATCTTTTTTCACAGAACTCCTCTCTTAATTTTGTATCTCCTTTTCTTCACACCTCCCTCGATAACCCCTCTCACCTTTGTATCTTCTTTTCCAGATCTTTTCATTTCTTCATCCTCCTCGATAATTCCTCTCATTTGGCCCTTCTTTCCAGATCTTTCATTTCTTCACGCCCTCCCTCTATAACTCCTCTCTAATTTGTATCTTCTTTCCAGATCTTTTCATTTCTTCACGCCCTCCCTCCGATAACTCCCTCTCTTAATTTGTATCTTCTTTCCAGATCTTTTTCATTTCTTCTTCCGCCCTCCCTCTATAAGTCCCTCTCTTAATTTGTATCTTCTTTCCAGATCTTTTCATTTCTTAACGCCTCCTCGATAACTCCCTCTCTTAATTTGTATCTTCTTTCCAGATCTTTTTTCTTCACGCCCTCCTTTATAACTCCCTCTCATAATTTGTATCTTCTTTCCAAATCTTTTCATTTCTTCACCCTCCTTTATAAACTCCCTCTCTTAATTTGTATCTTCTTTCCAGATCTTTTCATTTCTTCACCCTCCTCCCTCGATAACTCCCTCTCTTAATTTTATCTTCTTTTCCAGATCTTTTCATTTCTTCCACACCTCCCTTTATAACTCCCTCTCTTGTTGTATCTTCTTTTCCAGATCTTTTCATTTCTTCACGCCCTCCTCAATGCCATTTGTATCTTCCAGAACTTTTCATTTCTTCCGCCCTCCTCGATAACTCCCTCTCTTAATTTGCTTATCTTCTTTCCAGATCTTTTCATTTCTTCACGCCCTCCTTTAACTCCCTCCTTGTTTATCTTCTTTCCAGATCTTTCATTTCTTCGCCTCTTAACTTTCTCATTTGTATCTTTTCATCTTTTCATTTCTTCACCTCCCTCTATAACTCCCTCTCTTAATTTGTATCTTCTTTTCCTGTTTCTTAACGCCCTCCTCATTTCTCTCGTATCTTCTTTCCAGATCTTTTTTCTTCCTTCCCGCCCTCCAATAACTCCCTCTCTTATCTTTTTCTTCTTTCCAGATCTTTTCATTTTCTTCACGCCCTCCCTCGATAACTCCCTCTCTTAATTTGTATCTTCTTTCCAGATCTTTTCATTTCTTCACTCCCCTCCTCATAACTCCTCTCATTTTTTGCCCTATCTTCTTTCCAGATTTGTATCTTTCATTTCTTCACGCCCTCCCTCGATAACTCCCTCTCTTAATTTGTATCTTCTTTTCCAGATCTTTTCATTTCTTCACCCTCCCTCAATAACTCCCTCTCTTAATTTGTATCTTTTCCAGATCTTTTCATTTTCCGCCCTCCCTCAATAACTCCTCTCATATTTTGTATCTTCTTTCCAGATCTTTTCATTTCTTCACGCCCTCCCTCTATAATTCCTCTCTCTTAATTTGTATCTTCTTTCCAGATCTTTTCATTTCTTCACGCCCTCCCTCTATAACTCCCTCTCATAAGTTTTATCTTCTTTCCAGATCTTTTTCATTTCTTCGCAATCCTCCCTCTATAACTCCTCTCTTAATTTGTATCTTCTTTCCAGATCTTTTTCATTTCTTCACGCCCTCCCTCTATAACTCCCTCTCTTAATTTGTATCTTCTTTCCAGATCTTTTCATTTCTTCCGCCCTCCCTCGATAACTCCCTCTCTAATTTGTATCTTCTTTCCAGAATCTTTTCATTTCTTCAATCCCTCCCCTCCCTCTATAACTCCTCTCTTTAATTTGTATCTTGCTTCTCAGATCTTTTTCATTTTTCACGCCCCTCCTTATAACTCCCTCTCTTAATTTGTATCTTCTTTCCAGATCTTTTCATTTCTTCACGCCCTCTCCTCGATAACTCCCTCTCATAATTTGTATCTTTTTCCAGATCTTTCATTTCTTCAGCCCTCCACTCCTCTCTAATCTTTCTTTCCAGATCTCTTTCTTTTCCTCTATAACTCCTCTCTCCATTTGTATCTTTTTCCATCTTTTCATTTCACGCCCTCCTCTATAACTCCTCTCATAATTTATCTTCTTTCCAGATCTTTTCATTTCTTCACGCCCTCCCAGATAACTCCTCTTTTAATTTTTATCTTCTTTCCAGATCTTTTCATTTCTCACACCCTCCCTATAACTCCCTCTCTTAATTTGTATCTTCTTTCCAGATCTTTCCATGTTTCTTCACGCCCCTCCTTTATAACTCCCCTAGCACTGATTAGGTCTTTCTTTCCAGATCTTTTTCATTTTCTTCACACCCTCCCTCGATAACTCCCTCTCTTAATTTTGTATCTTCTTTCCAATCTTTTTCATTTCTTCGCCTCCTCGATAAGTCCCTCTCATATTTTGTATCTTCTTTACAGATCTTTTCATTTCTTCACACCTCCCTCGATAACTCCCTCTCATTTGTATCTTCTTCCAGATCTTTTCATTTCTTCACGCCTCCTCTATAACTCCCTCTCATAATTTGCATCTTCTTTCCAGATCTTTTCCATTTCTTCCGCCCTCCCTCGATACAACTCCTTTCTCTTAATTTGTATCTTCTTTCCAGATCTTTTCATTTTTTCACGCCCTCCTCGATAACTCCCTCTCTTATTTGTATCTTCTTTCCAGATCTTTTTCATTTTTGTTCACGCTCCCTCTATAACTCCCCTCTCTTAATTTGTATCTTCTTTCCAGATCTTTTCATTTCTTCACGCCCTCCCTCATAACTCCCTCTCTTAATTTGCTTATCTTCTTTTCAGATCTTTTCATTTCTTTTCGTGCTCCCTTCTCTTATTTTCCTCTATAACTCCCTCTCTGAATTTGTATCTCTTTCCAGATCTTTTCATTTCTTACACCTCCCTCTATAACTCCCTCTCTGGTGTATCTTCTTTTCCAGATCTTTTCATTTCTTACGCCCTCCTCTATAACTCCCTCTCTAAATTTGTATCTTCTTTCCAGAACTTTTGTTTCTTCCGCCCTCCTTATAACTACCTCTCACATAATTTTATCTTCTTTTGAATCTTCCATGCTTCGCCCCCCTTTATAAATCCCTCTCTTATTTGTGTCTTCTTTCCAGATCTTTTCATTTTCACACACCCCTCCCTCATGCTCCCTCTCTTATTTTTATCTTCTTTTCTTTTCATTTCTTCACCCTCCTCGATAACTCCCTCTCTTAATTTGTATCTTCTTTTCCAGATCTTTTCATTTCTTCACGCCCTCCCTCTATAACTCCCTCTCATAATTTGTATCTTCTTTTCCAGATCTTTCATTTCTTCACGCCCTCCTCGATAACTCCCTCTCTTAGTTGTATCTTCTTTCCAGATCTTTTCATTTCTTCACGCCTCTCCCTAACTCCCTCTATATGTGTATCTTCCCAGATCTTTTCATTTCTTCACCTCCCTCTTCCCTTCTTAATTTGTGATCTTTTGGAATTTTCATTTTCTTCCGCCCTCCTCTATAACTCCTCTCTTAATTTTTCATTCTTCTTTTCCAGTCTTTTCATTTCTTCACGCCCTCCCTCGATAACTCCCTCTCTTAATTTGTATCTTCTTTCTCATAAATCTTTTCATTTCTTCACCTCCCTCTGCTCCCTCTCTTAATTTGTCTTCTTTTTCCAGATCTTTTCATTTCTTCACACCTCCCTCGATAACTCCCCTCTTAATTTGTATCTTTTCCAGATCTTTTCATTTCTTCACGCCCCTCCTCGATAACTCCTCTCTTAATTTGTATCTTCTTTTCCAGATCTTTCATTTCTTCACACCCTCCTCGATAACTCCCCTCTCTTAATTTGTATCTTCTTTCCAGATCTTTTCATTTTCTTCACGCCCTCCCTCGATAACTCCCTCCCCTCTTAATTTGTATCTTCTTTCCAGATCTTTCATTTCTTCACGCCTCCCCGACAACTCCTCTCATAATTTGTCTTCTTTTTTCCAGATCTTTTCATGTTTAACGCCCTCCTTTATAATAACTCCCTCTCATAATTTGTATCTTCTTTCCAGAACTTTTCATTTCTTCACGCCCTCCCCTTTATAACTCCCTCTCATAATTTGTATCTTTTTCTTTCCAAATCTTTCATTTCTTCACACCTCCTCGATAACTCCTCCTCATAATTTGTATCTTTCTTTCCAGATCTTTTCATTTCTTCACGCCCTCCTCGATAACTCCCTCTCTTAATTTGTATCTTCTTTCCAGAATCTTTTCATTTCTTCACGCCCTCCTCTATAACTCCCTCTCATAATTTGTATCTTCTTTCCAGATCTTTTCATTTTTCACGCCCTCCCTCGATAACTCCCCTCTCTTAATTTTATCTTCTTTCCAGATCTTTTCATTTCTTCACGCCCTCCTTCTATAACTCCTCTCATAATTTGTATCTTCTTTCCAGATCTTTCATTTCTTCACCCTCCTCGATAACTCCCTCTCTTAATTTGTATCTTCTTTTCCAGATCTTTTCATTTCTTCACGCCTCCCTCGATAACTCCCTCTCTTTAATTTCATTCTTCTTCTTTCCAGATCTTTTCATTTTCTTCCCGCCCCTCTATAACTCCCTCTCTTGGATTTTTATCTTCTTTCCAGATCTTTTCATTTCTTCACGCCCTCCTCTATAACTCCCTCTCATAATTTGTATCTTCTTTCCAGATCTTTTTCATTTCTTCACGCCCTCCTCTGCTCCCTCTCTAATTTGTATCTTCTTTCCAGATCTTTTCATTTCTTCCGCCCTCCTCCTATAACTCCCTCTCTTAATTTTTATCTTCTTTCCAGATCTTTTCCATTTCTTCACGCCCTCCCTCTATAACTCCCTCTCTTAATTTATCTTCTTTTCCAGATCTTTTCATTTCTTCACGCCCTCCCTTGATAACTCCCTCTCTTAATTTTATCTTCTTTCCAGATCTTTTTTCATTTCTTCGCCTCCTCTATAACTCCCTCTCTTAATTGCATCTTCTTTCCAGATCTTTTCATTTTCTTCACGTCCTCCCCTCGATAAGTCCCTCTTAATTTGTATCTTCTTTCCAGATCTTTTCATTTCTTCACGCCTCCCTCTGCTTCCCTCTCTTAATTTCTATCTTTCTTTCCAGATCTTTTCATTTCTTCACGCCTCCTCCAATAACTCCCTCTCATAATTTATGTCTTCTTTTCCAGAACTTTTTATTTCTTACACGACCTCCTTTTATAACTCCTCTCTTAATTTGTATCTTCTTTTTGAATCTTTTCATTTCTTCCCCTCCCTCAATGCTCCTCTCATAATTTGCATCTTCTTTCCAGATCTTTCATTTCACACCTCCATCGATAACTCTCTCTCTTGTTTTGTCTTCTTTCCCGATCTTTCATTTCTTCACGCCTCCTCAATAACTCCCTCTTAATTTTTATCTTCTTTTCCAGATCTTTCATTTCTTCACACCCTCCTCATAACTCCCTCTCTTAATTTGTATCTTCTTTTCCAGATCTTTCATTTCTTCCACCCTCCCTCGTGCTCCTCTCTTAATTTGTATCTTCTTCCCCAGATCTTTTTCATTTCTTCCACCCTCCCTCTATAACTCCTCCTTAATTTGTGTCTTCTTTTCCAGATCTTTTCATTTCTCCCACCACCTCGATAACTCCCTCTCTTAATTTGTATCTTCTTTCCAGATCTTTTCATTTTTCCTGCCCTCCTTTATAACTCCCTCTCTTAATTTGTATCTTCTTTCCAGATCTTTTCATTTCTTACGCCCTCCCTCTATAACTCCCCTCTTAATTTGTATCTTCTTTCCAAGATATTTCATTTCTTCCGCCCTCCCTCGATAACTCCCTCTCATAATTTGTATCTTCTTTCCAGATCTTTTCTGGGCTCTTTCACGCCCCTCCTCGATAACTCCCTCTCTTTTAATTTGTATCTTCTTTCCAGATCTTTTCATTTCTTCACCCCTCCTCGATAACTCCCTCTCATAATTTTCTTCTTTTTCCAGATCTTTTCATTTCTTTACGCCCTCCTCAAATGCTCCATTTCTTAATTTGTCTTCCTTTCCAGATCTTTTCATTTTTCGCCCTCCCTCGTGCTCCCTCTCTTAATTTGTCTTCTTTTCCAGATCTTTTCATTTCTTCGCCCCCTCCCTCGATAACTCCCTCTCTTAATTTGTATCTTCTTTTCCAGAACTTTTCATTTCTTCCGCCCTCCCTCTATAACTCCCTCTCTTGTTTGTATCTTCTTTTCCAGATCTTTTCATTTCTTCCGCCCTCCTCTATCGTCCCCTCTCTTAATTTCTATCTTCTTTCCAGATCTTTTCATTTCTTCCTCCCTCCTTGTCCCTCTCTTTTTATCTTCTTTCCCAGAACTTTTCCTTCGCCCTCCTTTATAACTCCCTCTCTTAATTTGTATCTTCTTTCCAGATCTTTTCATTTCTTCGCCCTCCTCCTTTCTCCCTCTCTTAATTTGTATCTTCTTTCCAGATCTTTTCATTTTTTCTTCGCCCTCCTCTCCCTCTCTTAATTTGTATCTTCTTTCCAGATCTTTTAATCTTAACGCCCTTCTCCCTCTCATAATTTTGTATCTTCTTTCCGTCTTTTCATTTCTTCCCTCCCTTTATAACTCCCTCTCATAATTTGTATCTTCTTTTGAAATCTTTTCATTTCTTCACGCCCTCCCTCTGTACTCCTCTCTTAATTTGTATCTTCTTTCCAGATCTTTTCATTTCTTCACCCCCTCCTCGATAACTCCCTCTCATAATTTGTATCTTCTTTCCAGATCTTTTCATTTCTTCACACCTCCTCGATAACTCCCTCTCTTAATTTGTATCTTCTTTCCAGATCTTTCATTTCTTCAGCCCTCCCTCGATAACTCCCTCTCTTAATTTGTATCTTCTTTCCAGATCTTTTCATTTCTTCACACCCTCCCTCTATAACACCCTCTCTTAATTTGTATCTTCTTTCCAGATCTTTCATTTCTTCACACCCTCCTCGATAACTCCTCTCTTAATTTGTATCTTCTTTCCAGATCTTTTCATTTCTTCACGCCTCCCTCTATAACTCCCTCTCTTCATTTGTATCTTCTTTCCAGATCTTTTCATTTCTTCCTCCCCTCCTCTTAATTTGTATCTTCTTTCATAATTTTTCATTTTCTTCATTTCCCCGCCCTCCCTCTCTTAATTTTTACCTTCATTCCAGATCTTTTTCATTTCTTCACGCCTCCTCTCTATAACTCCCTCTCTTAATTTTATCTTCTTTCCCAGAGGAACTTTTCATTTCTTCACCTCCTCGATAACTCCCTCTCATAATTTGTATCTTCTTTCCAGTTCTTTTCATCTCTTCCACCCTCCTTCCTAACTCCCCTCTCTTAATTTTATCTTCTTTCCAGATCTTTTGTTTTCTTCACACCTCCCTCGATAACTCCCTCTCTTATTTGTATCTTCTTTCGAATCTTTTCATTTCTTCACACCCTCCCTCGATAACTTTCCCTCTCTTAATTTGTCTTCTTTCCAGATCTTTTTCATTCTTCACACCTCCCTCGATAACTCCCTCTCTTAATTTGTATCTTCTTTTCCAGATCTTTTCATTTCTTCGCCTCCTCTAACTCCCTCTCTTATTTGTGTCTTCTTTCCAGATCTTTTCCTTTCTTCACACCTCCCTTTATAACTCCCTCTCTTAATTTGTCTTTTTTCCAGATCTTTTTCATTTCTTCACGCCCTCCCTATAACTCCCTCTCTTAATTTTATCTTCTTTCCAAATCTTTTCATTTCTTCACACCCCTCCCTCGATAACTCCCTCTCTTAATTTGTATCTTCTTTCCAGATCTTTTCATTTCTTCACACCCTCCTCGATAACTCCCTCTCTTATCTTCTTATCTTCTTTCCATAATCTTTTCATTTCTTCCATCTTTGTTTCTCCCCTCCCTATAACTCCCTCTCTTAATTTGTATCTTCTTTTCCAGATCTTTTCATTTCTTCACGCCCTCCTCGATCTCCCTCTCATAATTTGTATCTTCTTTCCAGAATCTTTTCCATTTCTTCACGCCCTCCCTCTATAACTCCCTCTCATAATTTGTATCTTTCTTTCCAGATCTTTTCTTTTTCACACCCTCCTCTAACTCCCTCTCTTAATTTGTATCTTCTTTTCCAGATATTTCATTTCTTCACCTCCCTCGATAACTCCCTCTCTTAATTTGTATCTTCTTTCCAGATCTTTTCATTTCTTCCTCCTCCCTCGATCTCTCCCTCTCTTAATTTGTATCTTCTTTCCAGATCTTTTCATTTCTTCACGCCCTCCTCTATAACTCCCTCTCTTAATTTGTCTTCTTTCAGATGTTTTTTTCTTCACACCCTCCCTTTATAACTCCCTCTCTGTTGTAATTTGTATCTTCTTTCCACCTCCTTTTCTCTTTTTCTTCACGCCAGATCTTTCATTTTTCACACCCTCCCTCTCATAATTCTTTATCTTCTTTCCAGATCTTTCATTTCTTTCACCCTCCTCGATAACTCCCTCTCATAATTTGTATCTTCTTTCCAGATCTTTTCATTTCTTCACACCCTCCTCGATAACTCCCTCTCTTAATTTGTATCTTCTTTCCAGATCTTTTCATTTCTTACACCCTCCTCTAACTCCCTCTCTTAATTTGTATCTTCTTTCCAGATCTTTTCCTTTCTTCACACCCTCCCTCTATAACTCCCTCTCTTAATTTGTATCTTCTTTCCAGATCTTTTCATTTCTTCACCCTCCTCGATAACTCCCCTCTCTTAATTTTATCTTCTTTTCCAGATCTTTTCATTTCTTCTTAACGCCTCCTCGATAACTCCCTCTCATAATTTGTATCTTCTTTCCAGATCTTTTCATTTTCTTCACACCCTCCCTTTATAACTCCCTCTCTTAATTTGTATCTTCTTTCCAGATCTTTTCATTTCTTCACGCCCTCCTCTAATTCCCTCTCTTAATTTGTATCTTCTTTCAGATCTTTTCATTTTCTTCACACCCTCCTCCATAACTCCTCTCATAATTTGTATCTTCTTTCCAGATCTTTTCATTTCTTCACACCCCTCCTCTATAACTCCTCTTCTAATTTGTATCTTCTTTCCAGATCTTTTCATTTCTTCACGCCCTCCTCGATAACTCCCTCTCATAATTTGTATCTTCTTTCCAGAACTTTTCATTTCTTCACGCCCTCCTTTATAACTCCCTCTCTTAATTTGTATCTTCTTTCCAGATCTTTTCATTTCTTCACACCCTCCTCGATAACTCCCTCTCTTAATTTGTATCTTCTTTCCAGATCTTTTCATTTCTTTAACCCCCCCTCTATAACTCCCTCTCTTAATTTGTATCTTCTTTTCCAGATCTTTTCATTTCTTCACGCCCTCCCTCGATAACTCCCCTCTCTTAATTTGTATCTTCTTTCCAGATCTTTTTTCATTTCTTCACGCCCTCCCTTTATAACTCCTCTCTTAATTTGTATCTTCTTTCCAGATCTTTTCATTTCTTCACACCCTCCTCGATAACTCCCTCTCTTAATTTTGTATCTTCTTTCCAGATCTTTTCATTTCTTCACGCCCTCCCTCTATAACTCCCTCTTAATTTGTATCTTTCTTTCCAGATCTTTCATTTCTTCACACCCTCCCTCGATAACTCCCTCTCTTAATTTGTATCTTCTTTCCAGATCTTTTCATTTCTTCACACCTCCCCTATAACTCCCTCTCTTAATTTGTATCTTCTTTCCAGATCTTTTCATTTCTTCGCCCCCTCCCTATAACTCCCCTCTCATAATTTGTATCTTCTTTCCAATCTTTTCATTTCTTCACCTCCTCGATAACTCCCTCTCTTAATTTGTATCTTCTTTCCAGATCTTTTCATTTCTTCACACCCTCCTCTAACTCCCTCTCTTAATTTGTATCTTCTTTCCAGATCTTTTCATTTCTTCACACCCTCCCTCTATAACTCCCTCTCTAATTTTATCTTCTTTCCAGATCTTTTCATTTCTTCACGCCCTCCTCTATAACTCCCTCTCTTAATTTGTCTTCTTTCCAGATCTTTTCATTTCTTCCACCCCTCCTCGATAACTCCTCTCTTAATTTGTCTTCTTTCCAGATCTTTCATTTCTTCACGCCTCATTAAGTCCCTTCTTAATTTGTATCTTCCTCCTTTTCATTTCTTCGCCTCCCTCTGCTCCTCTTAATTTGTATCTTCTTTCCAGATCTTTTCATTTCTTCGCCCCTCCTCAATAACTCCCTCTCTTAATTTTTATCTTCTTTCCAGATCTTTTCATTTCTTGCGCCCTCCCTCTATAACTCCTCTCATAATTTGTATCTTCTTTCCAGATCTTTTCATTTCTTACCCTCCCTCTATAACTCCCTCTCTTAATTTGTATCTTCTTTCCAGATCTTTTCATTTCTTCACACCCTCCTCAATAACTTCCCTCTCTTAATTTTTATCTTCTTTCCAGATCTTTTCATTTTCTTCACACCCTCCCTTTATAACTCCTCTCTCATAATTTGTCTCTCTTTTCCAGATCTTTTCATTTCTTCACGCCCTCCTCGATAACTCCCTCTCTTAATTTGTATCTTCTTTTCCAGATCTTTTTTCTTCACCTTCCCCTATAACTCCTCTTTAATTTATCTTCTTTCCAAGATCTTTTCATTTCTTACGCCCTCCCTCGATAACTCCCTCTCTTAATTTGTATCTTCTTTCCAGATCTTTTTCATTTTCTTCACCCTCCTCTATAACTCCCTCTCTTAATTTGTATCTTCTTTCCAGATCTTTTCATTTTTCACCCTCCCTTTCTTCATAATTTGTATCTTCTTTCCCTTTTCCTCTTAACTCCTCTCCCTTCTTTTGTATCTTCTTCCCAGATCTTTTCATTTTTCACACCCCTCCCTCGATAACTCCTCTCTCATTTTTATCTTCTTTCCAGATCTTTCATTTCTTCACGCCTCCCTTTATAACTCCCCTCTTAATTTGT